TCAACATGCAAATTCGATTATTCAATTAATTTTCACCAAGTAAATTAAATCAGATTATAATAACTATTACCGATTCTAGTAATGATAAGTTAAAGATTTTAGCAATGAGTGGATTTCAGATTTTGTAGTGTAAATTCATGACTTAGCAGAGATTTAACAGTGGATGATCGTTTAGTAATGCAGATTTGTGGCTTTGACGGAGATGGTCGTGATTTTAATAGCGGGTGGAGAATATACAAGATGTGACAACTATGATCACGCCGACCAATCGGGTATGAGATTTTGGGTACACACATAATTTCTTTCTTGAATAAGCCATACACTTCGTGATATTTATCACTCCGTTCCTGGTATTAAAGACTTTGCCATAGTAACAATGCAGATCTATTTCTAATTATATACTGTATGTACTGTACGTACTGTACGTACTGTATGCGAAAAAAATTGGGCTATCATATAAACGGCATATCACTAGTAAAGACAGATTTTACTTATCGGGAGTTTTAGTAGAATCAAACACTTTTCAATATTGAACTCCAACTTAGTTAATCACAAGTTAAATAATCTGCATTCCTTTAACTTGGAATTTTTAACTCAAGGGAAATTATTCTTTATTTTCAGTGAAATACTTGTGTTTATATACATTTATACTATACTAATTTACTACAGATTTTTCTACCGATACGACCATATCTGTCAGAACTGTCAGTTCTGCCATAACCGCCATATCTGCTATATTTTTACTCCATGTAACTGTTGCAAATTTACTTTATTTGAATTAGTATGGGTTTAGTGCTAGCTGCACGCTTGACAACTACACTACTATTACAATATACTCATGATAATTGGACTTGTCCTCCCTATATACCAATCTGCTACTGTGTAACTAAAATACTTTGTGCATTCTTGTATTCAGAATATTGCAGCTGTGTAGAGGAACGTAATGCAACATTTCTAGCTTATTTGATGGTACATTCTGACACATCTATACATTTCCTGACACATCAAATAACACATTTGGGTAGCTCTTTCAGTGAAACTCCAGCGTTTCCTTATCATACTGAAATATACCATGTTATTATTCTGTCGTTTCCCTTATAGCTGTCAAACAGCATATTTTCAATGAAACATCATCTGTAACATTCTCTAGCCATTGGCAATGCCCCCTTTTCATTCCATTTCATCACGATTTATTATTTCCTCTTCCCTTCTTTTTCTTTCTTTTTTCCCTTTCTCTTTCTTTTCTTCTCTGTTTTTTTTTTTTTTTTTTTTCAATAGTCTTTCTTCTGTCTTGTATTTATTCTTTCCCTAACTTTAAATTTGCTCAAATTAGATTTTTGATTTGTTAGTTCCTATCCTGAAACAAATCAGGAACCCTATGTGTGAGAATCAAAGCGAACGAGAAGAAAAATGAAGAAGAAAATAAAAAAAAAAAAAAAAAAAAAAAAGTGGGAGGGGGGGGGTTTGACGAAAAGCCAGAAAGCCAAGTTTTCGGGCTACAGCAAAGAAAAAGCACAACCTTAACTCATAGCGAAACCTCTCTTAAATAACCTGTGTCCCCAATACCACGTGCATGGATGATGTCATTGATCTTCGCAAAAATATTCACTCCTGTGACTTGTGTCATAGTCGCTTTTCATATTTTTGCTCCATGTAACTGTTGCAAATTTACTTTATTTGAATTAGTATGGGATCTCCAGTGTAACGTACAGTTGCATCTTTCAATTATTCTAAATATGTGTGTAACTACTCAATAATTATTGCCTATGGTATTTTATATATATCAAAATCCCATCTTCCCCGAAGTGCCTATTTGAGTTGTTGCAATTGAACGTAAGTAAATCAATACAGCCTTTGAGAGCCAACCTCCTATCGCCATAATCTGTGGTAATGATAAGCCTGCCTTCATGGCAGCTGTCGCACCTCTGATTCTCAAGCTGTGACTCGAATATTTGCCCTGTAATTGCGCATGTTTTGTTGCTCGCTTCACTACTGCACTAATGGCACTCACTGACAGTTTCCTACCCGTGAGTGATAAAAATGCAGGCCCTGTGTTTGAAACTTGTAACCGGAGTTCCTTATAGCTGTTCCAAATTTTTACTGGGCAGTATTTTGATTTTATGGGTTCAATTGGTATGAACTTCCCTTGACCCTGTTGATCTGTTTTCGAGTGGTTTATCCGAACCCAAAGTAACCCATTTTCTTGCTTCATGTCGGCCATAGTGAGGTTTGCCAACTCACCGGCCCGTCTCATCGTTCGCAACCCTATGGCTATTATTGCACAATCCCTCGCCTGTATAAAAGAGGGTGTATTTTGTGGTGGGTTATCCAAATAGTTTTTAAATGCTTCTATCGGAAAAGGATCTCTCGGCCAGGGTGCTTCATGATTCTCAATAGCCAGTCTTTCCAAGTGGCGTGCTAGTTTCCTTACATCATACTGTTTGGTCGGGTCTTCAAACCCACATCGTACATGTGCCCATGCAACTGATAAAAGTATCAACGATGGTTTTGGGCCCTCTTGGGCTTCCACCACCCATACTAAGTAAGCCAATATTGCATTTTTTGTAGCAGGTAGATAGCCTATTCTATGTATTTGGCAAAAACTAACAAAATTTTCCCATATTTTTTGTAGTTTCCGATCATATGATGACTGCGGTTCTAGAAATTTGTTAGCTTGTTGCAGTAACTTCCTTAAAATTGCAGGTGTATTGCCATGAACTTCCAGTGTCGGTTCTTTAAAGGTTCTATATGGCTACTGGGTGCCGGGTAGAATATGTTTTCTGAATCTGGTAACATTAGCCGCTCTTTTACATGTTCTAAAAGGATTGGCCACCATGGTGCTGACTCCCATATCGGGACAATAATTGTAGTTTTTGCCCTGCATTCGAGAACATGTTTGAAAACTCTCTCTAGTTGATTTAGTGATGCGCATACAAAATTTGTCTCCCCTGCCCAGTCTGCTGTAAAACAATCGACTGTTTCTGTATTTGGGCAGTACCAACGGGAGTTGAAGCATCTTGTGTGAGTTGTTCGTTCGCTGGCCATCCTGTCTATAGTATGTGGACCCCTAATTTCGTCCAAGTGAGCAAAGATTTCTTTTCGTAGCACCCAATCTGTGTTGTCGAAAAATCTTGTCATTTCGTCCACTGGATTTAAAGCGCTTGGAACCCAGTGAAATTCGTATATCCAGATATCGTTCTCGTCGCACAGGTCCCATAGATCTCTCATATATTCTTTTTGCCATGGGTTTTTCCCTCCTCTTTCCATCGTCTTTAACGCTGTTTTGTTGTCTATAAAAATTGTCGTCCAATGATGTTTTAAAACGTCTTTGAAGGATTTTAACCCTAAAAGGGT